AAAGGTATCCAATTTATTATGTAATCAGCAAAGAAAAATATATAATCTAGTATAAAGCATTATTAACAGTACTAAAACAACACGCGTAAATCTAAGCCATCCGATGACGATCTGCTATTATGCATTTCCTAATTTGTGATAAAACACGCAAATACCTTAACTATTACGTATATTACAAGGGTGATTCTGAAAATTTAGTCAAATAACGCTTCCAATTTCAAACAAATTTCGAAAATATACGCTTAATTTACGACTTTCCGTTTGTTTTTCAGTATACATTTTTCTTAGAATTAAAATGTTCCATACTAAATTCTTTGTCTCTTGCAGTGCCACAAGGAAACAAAAGATGTCACTGGACAAGATCTCGTTTGGAATTTGTATTTTATCGTGTCTAAACTCGTAAATCGCCTAATACTGAAGTAGAAGCAATATTTTAAATGCTTATGCAAAGCCTCAATCTAAAGATATTAACTTTTTTGAATTTGACAAAACTCTGCTGAGTACTGTAAGTGAAAAGAAAGAATCGTCGTGAAATATAAGAATGAAAGTTGACAAATATTTTCTAACAAACTAATTGATCTATAATTTTTGTAACTGATTCGGTATTATAATTATTAACATCAATACAGTAGGTAAAAGATAATCCCAGCTATTTCTCCCTGTGACTGCTCCATTTGACAAACCGCAGATCTGAAATAAAAGTAATAGTTTTTATTTTTATGCATATTATGGTAGTGTTAATTATGTTAAGCTTAAGCTATTCCTATCATTTATTAGTATTACAACTAGAATTTGTTCTATAAATTACTATAATTTGTTAAATTAGTGAAATATGGTAATTAGAAATTAATAAATATGAAATTTTTGATAGAAGAAAGTGAAGCAAAATAAATATTCTCAGAAACTGAAGTCAGATTTCCTAACTTTTATAAATTATCATTATTTATACTTGAAGATATACGAACCATTTTCAAGTGTTCCACATTGATGACCTTTCGTTTGATAATTGCTTTTTCTAAATCTTTTATCGTACAGTTATCATGAGATGGACAACCCGGTAATGCCATTTGATATTCTGTTGTTCCATTTTTGTAAAACATCTATATTTAAATGGTATTATTTTAAGAGACTCTCTAATTTTTTAGTCATGCAAAATAATACTTGTATTCTCGAGTTGTGATTGCTACAGTATAATAGTACAGTTAGGTAATGTACCGTAAGTAATATGCTATTATACTTTTCAGGTTGCTAGAACTGTATCAAAAATGAATCTCTATTGCAAAGATAGAAACGCTTGGAGGATTGTGTTCTTTTTTCGTGAATTTTTAAAGTCACTTCAATTGTTAGTACTATTTGATTTTGAGGTACGAAAAAAATCCAAAAGCAGTCACTTTTAATATTTTTTGATTGTCGTCTGTTTGGTATATTTCCATAAAAAGGCATGATGCATATGGAACCAGCAAGTCATTACCAATACCAAAAGCATACATTAAAGCCAGCACAGTACCATCGTGCTAAAACAAAATTTAGCTCGAAAAATGTAGACATTATCACAATGTTAAGCATATTCAATACTTTTTAATTATCTGTCTTTGATAGAGTAAGCAAATTTTTGTAATAAAATTAATAACTGAAACGAATATGTGATAAGAGAAAACATACTGATGAGTAAAGTTTAATTTTTGTTGGGGTGACGGAAAAACCAGAAGATACTTTCAAGGCTGTGTTAATCCAATCACCCATCAGTAATCCACCGCGCATTTGTGCCTTTATTGGTGAATTAAATTCAAAAATTCGATAAATTCTCTTCAATTCATTAATTATATCAATTGTTCTTTGATTATTAAATTCAGGCCAAGTATGATAAACCCAAGTTGGTTGCGTTAAATTATGATAAATCTGAAAATAAATAAATTTATGACTGATTACAAACTCAATTAAGTACTAAATATTTTGTACGATTAATTATTAAATTCACTCTTCAAAATATTATCAAATACTCATATTCATACTCAATTATTTCCTCTGAATCTGCTCTCAATCTTTGCAATACTTACTTATCTGAATGTGAATTCTTACTCTCTCATCCTTCTAAACTAAATTTTCATTGTATAAATTCTTTTAATTGTTGCAATGCTTAAACATTCTTATACATTCTTCATCACAATTACATTTTAATTTGACACTTCTAAATTTAAAAAGATTTGAGAAAGGCATTTATAATTTGCTATCTTCCAGTAATCACTGAAATGTAAAAAAAAAATTATTTTTAAAGAAATGATAATATCAATTTCGATTATTGTATAAATTTAAATTTATGCATGAAAGTAACAAATACAGTATGTTTGTCATATTTGGGATGGACGAAGGAGTAAGTTAGTCATGTAATGTGTACAAAAGTTTGATAGAATAGATCAGATAAAGCGTTTCAAATTTTAATCATATAAATTATTTGCTTTTTTGCAAAAAATTTTTTATTCACTAATTAATATGAATAATTTCAGATAGATGTCAGTTGTTAAGAATGAAAAGGCAGTAAAATATCGCAGAATTCTGTCTGAACGAAATAATACAGCGAACTTCTCTTTGAATATCGTGTAGTGAAGCAGCTTTTTTGAAGTCCATGTTCTTCTGACCAGTCATGTTTGCAAGAAAAGCAAAGAATTTTTCATATTTTCGCTTTATACTCCTTTTAAGTTTGTCATTCTCAATATTTCTTCTGATGTCATATTTTGGACAATTGAAATCGGTTGGTTTTAGCATCTGTAATGACCACAATACCCAATTCATATTCAAATTGAAAATGTGAGAAAAAAATTTTTTGGCATCAGAAATGAATTAATAACTATATAGTATTATGGTATTATTGACAAATTTCTGCTCGATAAACTTATTAATTAACATTAAATAGTTACAAAAATATAAAAGGGATGATAGTAAAATGTTTTAATGTTCCATAATATTTCATATTAATATTTTAATACGTGAAAGTCTTTGATTGCATAAGAAGAATTTGTTCGTAATTTATGTGAAAGTATGAATTTAATAGATCATATGAAATATAAAATGGATATTGTTGATGCAGCGTGAAATCTTTACTAAAAGATGTAAAAATTAATTATTGTAAAATTTAAATAAATATATTTCCAATTTTAATAGTATTAAAAATTAAATGAATGCAAAAGCTTACAGCATCGTTGGGATCAATTGCAAATGGTAGTGGTTGCCACAATTCATCTTGCAACCATATTTCTTGGTTGCTAGCCGGAAAAAATCCTCGGAGCACTGCTAATGCACTAGTAATCGCTCGATTTGATTTTGAAGACACCATTTGTATCTGAAAAGGTTAGTAGTAATTATTTTATTTATTAAAAATTATTTTGATAATTTAAAAATAGTGAAAAATGAGCTACAAAAATTATTTCACTCAATTCAAAATCATTTTAAAAAATTTTGTTGTTTTATTTTTCATTTTAAATTGTAAAAAAGAACTTAAAATATTATTTAAATTTTATAAGAAAAATTAGCTGTCATTAGAATTTTTAATTCAGTACAGACTTACATCGAAAAACTCTATTTTGTAATTCATAATGATTAATCATTTTTCATGAGATTGTGTGTGTGTTTCAAGTTATTGACAATAAAACCAAATAGATATGTTATCAATTTTAAGTACATAAGTAATAATTTTATCTTAATCGCAAAACTTTGGAAGAATAGCACAAATTGTAGCAATTCATTTCTGGGGTTATAAAATCAGAAATCAAAAATAATTTTACCTCTGTAGCATTAAATTTTTTAATAAATGAAGCGTATCGTTTTCGGAAGTATTCTCCAAGTTGGTACATTTGCATAATGCCATTCTTAAATTTATTTCAGTACTTTCTTTTTTGCCAAGATCGTTTCGTCAATTTTTTTCAAAAATTTATTCGAAGAAATGTTGTGAAGGGATAGTATCAGACGGAATGAATTCAGAATGCAAACAATAATATATAAATAAGTAAATTAATCATTGAAAACAGTTTAGATTGAAAAATGAATTCATTTTGGATTTTGTCTGATGCAAATTTTTCGTTTTTGTTTAGTAATTAGTCACAACTATTGCATGACTAACTTACTTTCAAACAGTAATATATTTTAAGCTTTAATTAAAAAATCGAAAATGATGAATAATATGCAAGAATAAGAAAAATATAAAGTATTAAAAGTAAACATTAGTCAGTTGACCCCATCCTCTGGGCCATGAAGTTTCAGTGTACCGGTCAATGGGATAAGGTAGATTATTAGGTGCTCGATCGCCATGTCTCCAAATTGCTTGAACATAAATTATCTCTTCTTCCATCTCAATATAGCCAACGAATATTACCAGCAAGAGGAGATATGTAATTAATTGTCGCATAATTGCTTGCCGCCTTAATTCACTACAAATTTTTTGTATAATTACGTAGTCACTTGTATTTGTTGTGCTGATGTGTAGTGTGGTGCTAAGATGAGAAATAATTATCAAATGAAAGCAAAAGAGATTTGTGTTCGAGCGCATTTGAAAAAAATAATAATTAATTTTCGTCATAAAAAAAATTCTTTTTAACTTACATTTATTGCATATGCGTTAGAATTACTTTGTGTTGATTTACTTTAAAATTGAGATTGTGGAAAAAAAGAATTTATAAAAGAAACTGAGAACGTTTATTAAAGTTGTTCGTTCACTTGCTTTGTAAAAAGTGAATGAAAGTAATTAAATATTTGGTATTTATTTCAATTATTGCATTTTTCTTCCAATTACACACATTTTATTTTATAAATTTACTTTTTCACATTAAACGTTTTAAGAAAATGTCCAAAGTAAAACAGAAAAAGTCTGAGTAAAATAAAGTGTTATCATTCATATTAGCACTGTACAACTTTTGTAGAAATTTTTGTACATTATTTTTTTATCGAATTTTTATCATAATTTTTCACTTAGATTTTTTCATTCTTAACTTTGAAAATTGATAATGTTATCAGCAAAAATAATCTGAAAGGAAAATGAAGAAAATATTTGTGTTAAGTGAGTAGATAAATAAACAATTTAGTGTAGTGCACAATTTTAGTTAGTGGAATTGAAACATAAAAGTGTGCATTGACGCACAAGTGCAAAGTGCAAAGTGCAAAATTCTTTGCATCCAGCGATATAATCTGAAGACAGTGCCAGTGTTGACGACTACCTAAGATAAGGTATGAATGGAAAGTAATTGCATTTTTCATAATTACTTTTATTTAGCTTTCAGCGTGAATCCGCAAGTCATAAAGTAGTTACTTTGTTTTGTACACAATCGATTTATCTTTGATTACGACAAAAATAGTTCATCAAATATTCCAAGCAACAATTACATAGAAAATTTATTGAAGAAAAAATATTGCTATATATATGTTGTTATGTTAGCAAACAATATATGACTAAGAAAGTTTACATTATGTATCATATTAGCATCATGTATTATTAACCTATCCTATATATATTATCTATCATATTAACCTATATTATATTGTGATGCAATAAAAAATAAAATAAACAAAGTAAGAAGTTATAGTGAGTATTTTTTCAAAAAGTAATCTCTCAAAGTATATCACAGCAATGCAAGCCTGACATTGCTGATTTTTGAGATATTAAAAGTAGTAGAAAAATTTACAAATGATAAAACCTGGCTTATTTTCAGCATTTCAGCATTTCGAGACCACAGAGATTTCTATTACTGCGATTACTTCAGATCAGGTTTTTTTTTCTCCAAATATGTAATAAAAATTGTGTGAAATGATTGGCTCCGCCTAAAATTGTCTAACTTAACTTTTATATTTATTTAAACGCATAAATTATAAAACTCAATACTTAAATTCTTTTGTATAAAGCAACAACAAGTTGTGGATATTCTTGCTTGCCTCATTTTTAATTTAATAAAAATGATTAATGTAATTAATTAAAATGCTACAACATGATAACAGTAGTGTTGCCTTTGTGAGGCATTTTGTTTATAATTCTCAAATTCGAAACAGTGAAACAAAATACTAACTCTTCAAACAAATTTATTACTTTTCAAGATTACTCAGTAAGTAATATGAAAGTTAGATTAATCTAAGTGGAATACAAAATGCTGTAAAGTCAAAAAAAGAGTAGTCTTGAGACATTACTGAAACAATTTTGGCTTTAATTTATATATGCAATTAAATATTCATTAATCATATCTACGAAAATAACCTCTGCGTGTTGTTGTGATCAGTAACAATTATTTATTAATTATTAATTTGTAGTACTAGTCTAATTCTGTGGCGTAGATTATTTAGTCTTGATTAAAGTCTGATATAATTTTATATGTTTATTTTTCTTTATTAGCAATGTGTAATAAATTTTTAACTGTGTGTACATAACAGTTGAATTACAGACAATTGAATTAACGAATTAATTACTTCAGTGATATTTAATCTTTCATAGATAAGGAAGGTAATTTGTTTTAAGTAAAAGATCAGATGGAAATTTCGAAAAAGTAATGTACTCACATCGCAAATATTACCTTTCAAAATTTCTTGTCAGCTAACATTTTCAAATACTAGCAGTAATCAGTTATAGAATACAAATATAAAATTTTAAATAATTCAATTATCTAGTAGAGTTTATTTAAATTATTCTATTCAACAAATTCACTCACTTTACTAGAAAAATAGAATTTGGTCATTTCCGATAATTACTATTTTGTGCTTTCGCTATTAAAGTAAATAATAAGCTAAAAGACTAACAAATCTCACATCTTTGCAATTACTAGATATTACTAAATGTAATTTAATTTTATAATGTCTTTTTTAGCCGCGTCAGTTCTATGCTAAAATTGAAATGATCACTATAGTTTGGATTTTAAATTCCAAAATAATTTTTCATATTTTTAAGTAATCAAAAATTTTTCGCATTTATTGCATACTTTCTGACAGTGAATAAAAATTTTTCTTAAAATTCAAACTATGAAAATGAGTAAATTCTTAAAATTATTGCATTGTAAGTGAGCATATTTATTTTAATTATACATTCTTAACTTATGATTAATTTTCTTTTCGGTCGCAGCTTATAATCATTGCTTTAATTCATTTCTTTGTTGTATTCTTTTAGCTAATTCTAATTACTCTAATCTATTAAACTTACGCATTTGCGCTTGTTACCTTTAATAATTTAAATGCTTTGTAATATCTTTGCTTGAGAAGCGAAAAATCTTCTTCTTCTAGTCTTCTTCTAGCAAGACATTATAAATTCTTCGTAACAAAAGCAATTCAGACCGGTTTCTCCCATTTCAAAAACGCAAATCATTCATTTGCTTGCATTCGCCTTCAATTTGATCAAATCTGCGCGGACGGCCTCGCCCTCATTTGCATTTCAGCAAGTGATCGTTCCACCATCGATTTCCATAATGGTTGCATCGCACATATTTTGCATTAATTTGCACATTGCTTTTAATTTAATCCACAAAATTCAAATAATCAAATTGTATTTGTAAAGTAAACATAAGATTAGATATAAACTGAGATTACTTCTAATTTTGGTCATAAATATGTTATTACGTTGCGTTATTATTCAGCCTAACGTGACATGCGTGATATCATTGGGATAATTTTGTCAATTGTAATAGTCAATTGTTCGCATGTCAATTTATCTCAGGAAATCATTACAAAGGTATTTTAGTCAACTTTTATTTCTTTTATTTGCAATATTCACTAGCGATTTGCTCTCAAAATAGCTATATGCTTAAGGCAGTAACTTTAAAATTTTAGCCCGAATGATTCTTTAAACTGATTAGTTAGTTAAGCTCTTGCTTGTATTATTACTTTCCAAAAATAAATCTCTTCTAAACAATTTGCATAAATAATTTTTCGTCGCCTCTCAATGTTATCTATTGGTATGTTAATTAGAACAGTGTTGTAGCATACGATAACAATTGCAGGACGATGATGTTCACAAGTATTTCCACTATTTGTGGTGTCCATCTAAACTTGTCGGTACAATGTGTCCAGGTTTACTTTAATTACTTACTGTAATCGTTTATTAATTTTTGTTTAAATACTTGAGTGTTGCAGTTCAAAAATACAAATAAAAAATATGCATATTTATTTCAAATTTTTTGTATAAAATTTGAATTTTCAGAAAATTCACTAACATATTACTATTACTGTTGTGGTGATTTGAAAAATCGATGTTGCTATACTACAAGGACATGGGTTACTTTACTTGGTCTTATGGTACCTTTAATTGCCCTTTTAATAGTTATAATTTATTTACTTAGAAAATTTGTTTGCACCAAAAAAGATGAGTACATTGCTGGACAGAGACAATAATCATACTTTTTTGCAGTGTTTTGTACATAAAAATTTGTATGCTTTTCAAGTTTTGTTGTTTTGATTTTGGATTAAACTGGAACTAGCTAAGGATTTGACCTTTTTGGTATTGCTTTTTTTAATAATACAAAATATAATTTCAATAAGCAAAAATATATTATTGTATTATTTTCAGTAAAGAAAAATATATTATTGTATTGAGTGTAAATTGTTAGCGATCTCAGTGTTATAAATTTTATTTAATTGAATAAAATTTGGGCAACTTTAAATCTAATACATACACATACATTTCAAGCAGAAGCCATTTTGAAAATGATCAAAGCTCGTATTTATTTTTGCAGAAAGTTATTTCCGTTGTCTCAAAATCTGTAAATATTTAATAATATTTGGAATCATAGAGTATTCAAGTCAATGGCAAATGATAACATTTTTGAACAAAAGCAATAATTATTAACCAAGTTTGGATAATGTGTACAAAAAATGCACATCTAACACTTTTTTGATAAAAAGTCTAAGACTTTTGATCAATTAAATATTATTCATTTTTCTTAGAAAATTTGATTTTAATATCTTTGAGCAGTCATATATTTGCATAATTTTGCATGTGTTTAGCTGATTTTTTTCAGATTTCTTCTACTTCATTCATTCATTCATACGACTGAGCAGAAAACATAAAATAATGCAAATAAATATAAATTTATTACGATTAACTCGGAATACTGTAATTAGTAATCATTAATGACTACAATAAGATTCAAATTTAATTATAATCATTTGCTTGTATTTTGCTACTGTATTTTTGAAATTGTGATGTTCATAAATAGTAAACATGAATTGCCCATCTTTTTCTGCAGAGGTCAAGGAAAAATCATTTCATAAAATTAACTTACTAATAAGATAATAAGTAGATCTTAAAACTAAAATTTCCTCTACCTGCGATAAAAATACGTTAATAGATTATTCGTCGTGATTGAAAATTAGTAATTCAACAATGCCCCGCATCAATTCATTTCCGCATTGAAACAATAGAATACAAGTTATTATTATCATTTTTCATTATCATTTATCATTATTATTATTGTTTATTTATTTATTTATTTATTCATTTATCTATTTAATTTTTCATTATCATTAATTGCTATTATTATTTATTTATTTATTTGTTATTATAATTGTTATTTTTTATTATCAACCTCAAACAATAATAAAAATATTGCTGAAAAATAAGACAATTTATTGCTCGATGAGATAGATATATTAGCACTTTGCTATTTTGAATAATTCTCAATGGCATCAACAATTATTTATAAAAAAATTATTGCTAAAATAAGTGAAACAAATGCTTATTGCAAGTAAACTATAATTTTTTGAGCAAATCCTGCTTGTTTCTAAAATCGAAGAAATTGTCGTTAATAATGTCGTCTTAGTAAAATCAGCAGCACTGATATGTGCTCATAAAAACTTTACAACATAATTAATTTAATATATTGTAATTAAGTATAATGTGATTGCTTCATCGATGGCTAAGTATACAATTGCTAGCCATTATATTCCATTCATAAATTTCATTATTCATTCATTTTCGTTTGTTATTTTCTGGCATTAATAAAAAATAGAGAATTATTATTTAGTTTATAATTGAAACTTATTCATTTTTAAGTATTGTTTCTAGCAATTTTAATGTTAAATTGCAAGAAAAGGTAAGTTCTTGAAAGTTTTCGAATTATTTGAATTGTAAAGTTTTCAAATTATTTGAATTGTAAAGTTTTCCAATTATTTGAATTGTAAAGTTTTCAAATTATTTGAATTGTAAAGTTTTCAAATTATTTTTTCTTCTACTGAAATGTATAAAATAAGTTTTCATTCTTTTAATTTTTGAAATTAATTCTATTATATATGGTAGCTAAGGTGTCACCCAGTGCAGGTCAATTAATGGTTATTCAGTTTATAATAAAACTTCACCTCCTTCGTTTTCAGAATTTTTTTCTGTTCATTAAGCACCTTTGAGGGTAGCAATTTCAGACTTGCCTGATGGATTTATTGAAATTCTTTCAAAAGTTTCTAAAGCATTGTGAGAATTAATACGTATAACCTCAAAAGAAATTGTAATAATCTTTTGTCTTCAACATAAATTAAGCAAAGACACATTCGCAAATTATTCTTCAGTTCAATGCATTTATTATATATCTAAATGAAATGACAGCTTTATTTTGCTTTAAAAATTAGATTGTCCTTTTCATCACACATAACTTTTCAATGCTGACAATTTGATAAAAATCAGTACTATCGTTTAAAATTTTATATTATTTAAAGACAAAAATTGTGAAGAAATTTGCTTTTCTGACCATTATTTGCTAATAATTACACATTTTGGTATCAAAATTAAGTACTAATTAATTAATTAATTAATTAATTAGCAAAGTTTATTATCGCAAACACATAAAAATGAGCTTTTAAGAACAGAAAGTATAAAAAGTAAAAAAACTATATTAAAAATGCTAAAAACTTCGACTGAAACTCAATCTCCACATCAATCTTCCTCAAAGATTATTTAATTGTATGGCTGCTTTCGCATGTCACAACCAATACTTCATTTTCGTTGCATTTTTATAATAAGTCATTATTTTATTAAAATATTTCTATACTAAATTACATGAAAATAAGAAATAAACTTATCTTAATCTTAGCTATCAGTTAAAGTAAGTTGAAAAGTATTCCAAAATGTGGTATCTACTCAAATTTTAATTTCATTCCCAATATATAATATGCATTTTATAGCTTTTACTCAAGTAAAAATTTGCTCTAATAAAAGCTCTATTTAATTAAGAGCAGTCATTACATCAAATTTTATCAGTAATTACTGATTAAAGTCAATCTATCACTAAAAATGCAAAATTCATATATGGAAGTGAAAACCGGAAAGGATGTGAAACTTTAGCACACCTGAAAGCCGACTATCATGTAAAAATTTAAATAGATTAAAGTCATATTTTACAATACACTGACATCATGCAAATAAGCAATTAATCATAGGAAAATAATAATTTTTGATAATTTTTTCAGTTTTGATTCATAATTTTGTAATTAATCACTTTCTCGATATCAGACAGACAAGCTTTTTAATGACTTGCATATATTAGTAAATAAAGTCAGTGCATGTTTGCACTTCTTGTTGTCTTCTTGGATCTAAAAATGATAAATCTGATTCCACATTAGCAGTAGTCCGTTGCTGAGTACTAGAAGTTTCAGCTACTTGTCGTGATGATTTATTGCCGCTTGTATTTTCTAAAAATTGTTCTCATAATTTACAAAGATACATTTTAGATGAAAATTTCAAATATAATATTATAAACATATTTGAAATTTTAATAAATAAAAGTTAGATAACGCAAAGTTTTATTTCCAAAAATATTTATTAAAAGTTGAATAAATGTTATCATTCGTTCAAACCCCATGGCACTGAGTTATTTGCATGATCTAAACGTTTCACTTCCACCACATCATCTAATGATGCTCTGCCATTTGTCTAAAATTATTTATTAGTGATAAATATATTTTCCATTTTATTAAGCTTTGCGCATTAATCGCATTATTAATAATATTTTAGTCATTTATAATCAGAATAATCTTAATTAAGTAAACAAGTGCTTAATTACTAACCTATTAATCATCCACATATTTTAATTTATAGAAATAACTTGCTAGTTCCTTCTAAAACTATCAAAAGTATTGCTGAGAAGATATTTTGCTTCAATTAATCAAAAAATTATACTTCAGCGTACCAGCGATGAAGAGAGAAAAAAATTATTTTAAAATAAGTATGCAAAAAAATGATTGCAAATTACCTGAGTAGAATCGTCAACTTTATTAGAAGCAGTATTTTCTGCTAGTATAGAAGATGGAGAGACATTTTCAGAAACTTGACCTTGGGAAGGACGAATGCGATGTTTTTTAGTTGATGTTGGCGTAGCCGCTTGTGAAGAACCACGTACTGATGATCCTGGATAAAAATTATCTGCTCTCATGCTAGACAAATGTGGTGGTGGTATTGGTGTACCTGAAATAATCTTAGTAATAAAATTTTAAATTAATTTTTTAAATACATGAAAAAGTTCTTATGGTTAAACAGTATCTATTATAATGCTAATGACAAAAGCATTCATCAAATTTGCTTTATCATTTAAACATTCTAATTATTTTATATAAATACATGCATAAATAGTTAAAAAATTTAGCAATAGAAAGACACCAGAATATGGAGTACTGTAAATAGCATCAGTTTGTGTTGCATAAATTTGTTCTGGAATAGAAGTTGCAACCATTATAGGTTCAATTATTTTTGATCTGCCCAATGTGCTTGTTTGATAGATTTCTTCAACATATTTTTCCCGCCTTGCACAACAACAGCAAAATCGAGCCAAGAATAATGCCAAAAGTAATGCCAATATCAGAAGTAAAATGCTAAGAGCTAGTAGAAGCCCAAGAATTGACTGAAATACAAATTTTTTGTAATATTTTTTTTAGATAAAAATTTAAATTCTTTTTGTTGAATAATATACAAAAATTTCCGCTAAAATAATAAATTGCAATAAGTATGTTATTTGATTATTTTGAATAAATTGTTTACGATGTTATCAAGTATATTCAAAGCAGTGTTATGACTGTGAAGTAGGGATTATTTGTGGGAAATTTTTTGATAAAATTTCAAGATAATTTTTGTATTAACAAATTAAAAATTACTATATGAATATTTTTTAAAATTTAATTGAGATAAAAGTTTATAAGTATTATTTTTAATGTAAATTATTTAAATGATATTATAATACGGAGTGAATAGCTCATATTACTATTTTATAATTCATTAATTTCATTTCATTGATAATTTATTTTTAAATGATTGCATTGAAAATGCCAAGAAAATGTGCCGGAGGGAATATTCTTACGGGTGATTTCAATAATGGATATGAATCCTACACAATTTCATCTTTTATCCCTTATCATATAGACTGGTTTGTTTCTATCTGAAAATCCTTCAAATACAAGTTTAAATTTCGATTGTAAATCTGTTGTAATGAATTGTTTGCAAAAATAAATAGATTCTGAAGAAGTTATTATTTGCAAAGAATTCATGAATATGAAATTTTTTGTGATACAATTGCAACCACTGACATAGTATTTTAGAAGAATTTCATCAAAATTTTTGCATCAAAACAATGACAAGTGATCAACTATTAATTCTGAATTTAATGCCTTCAGAATATCAAACATTTTAATACTATGACTGAGAACAAAAACTTTGTTTATTTTGAAGCTAAATAAGTATCAATCAAACTTTATTATATGTAAATTTGTTGTTAGGCTATTTCGCTTTGTAATTTGCTAGTGAATATTACTTTGCATAATTGTATGCTTTAACGTTTTAAATATACTTTCCATTAATACTCCCTTTATTTTTGCATTTTGGATAATTTAATTCAATTATAACTTTTGCACTAAAAGGCACTTTTATAGAAAGTGAAGCATTAATTACATTAGTAAAAATTGAAGTTTTTTCCTACAATAAATGTTTGGAAGAAAATTTTATTGGAAAATAATGAAATATTACTACATTTTGATAGTAAAATAATCATGAATTAAAAAAAACTGTTACTTAAAATTTTTTTTGGATCAGTAAGGTAATAAGCAAAACTTTAATTAAGCGGAAAAAATTATGAAGTAAAGAATACCATCCAGCTTTCATTCTGTTGGGCTTCTGCTCTTTGTACGCTCTCATAATTTGATAATAAATATTGCAATGCCAAAGAATCATACGAAAGCTTATCTGAAATTTTAATCAAACTTTAATATTTGTAAAAATATCAAAAATTAAATTTATTTACATGAAAGTTTACTGGCACACATTTGCTCTCAAATTTAGCAATGCTTACATTTTGATGACAAAAAATTTGGATTAAAATATATTTAATTGTGATAATACAGTTGTGATTGCTTTTATTATTTGCTCATTTGTACGTATTTAGCATTTATCAGAAGATTTATCAGTAGTTATCTTTCACATTGAACAGGTTTTTTCAAGCATAAAAAGTATTAATTTAAAGCAAAGAAATTTATCTTTCGATAGGTTTAATTTATTATATAATTTATTTAATTTATTTGATAAATTTTTGTAATTAATTTGAATCATAATTCATGGAATTATGGAATGAATGCAATATGTTAGAAGGCATTTTAGACTTTATTAACAAAAAGTAGAAAATAAAAGATGCATGGGAAAAGATTAAGATTATCTGATATATTTGAATACTATTTCGAGAGAAATTTAAACAAAGAATCCATCTGTCTCCAATGCAATTCAGTGAAATTATTAATAATTCTGAGAGACAAAAGGATTCAAAAGTGTTCACAGATGACTACATCAATTCAGAATGATCCAAATTGATCTATTCAAAAGAAAGTATGCAAGCAATTTAAGCATTAATTATTAATATTATTCATTAATAGTAAAATTTTATATAGCAAAACTTTCAAAATTTATTATTATTAGCAAATGAATGTAACCATTTATCCTGCCTGACATTATAATTGTTTTAAGCAAAGGCTAGCATATTATCTAATAAATATTGAATATTTTAAAACATTAATTAATCTGGAAAAAAAATCAGTGCTCAGAGCATACTTTTTCTTGAATTTTCATCAATGAAGAAGAACAAAAATTGCAGAATTTCATGAAAAAGAGCGAAAAACGAGTACCAAATTTTCATAAATATTAACTTGTAAATGAAAAAAATTTTAAATTTTATTTTCTGTGACAATTTTAAAAATTTTTTCTGAAAAAATTTAGCACATAACATTTTATGAGTAATATTTATAGCGCTGAGGCATTTATTCAATGAGTAATAACTATAGTTTCAAGGCATTTATTTATTTATTTATTTATTTATATTGTGAATAAATAAGCTTTTGAGAAGAAAAAATAAATAAACACTTACTTGTAATAGCCATTCTACGAAGATTTATCTGTTCTCGAGTATTCAGAAACAGTAGTGAACCATTATGGTGATAAATTGCTAACTGCAAGTATTAGAATAAGCTAAAATAATGATTACTTTTATACAAACTACTTTTCATTTTAGCATAAATTAATATGTGAAAAAAGTAGCGAAGCACAATTCAACAATAATAAATAAATAATGAAGTGAGCTAATGGTATATTCAAATTATTTACTTTAATCAAAATAAAAAAAGCGCAAAAACTGCCCCTAGCAAATTAAAACAAAATATTACCAATGCTAATATTATAACATACAATATTAGCATTATGCAAAATGATTATTAATTTTTTCAGACTTTTTCATATGATGTATGTGATTCAGATTTATTAAGTGTCAAATAAACTGACAGTATTTTAAATTGTATCTAAAATACAACGTGCATTAATTTTAAACTTAAATATTCATTGATTATTCTATAGAATTTAGTTTCTAGTAATAAAATTAAATCAAGTTTAAAGTTTAAAAAGCTTAAAAAGATAAAAAATAGAACCTGGTTTTTGTCTTTGATATAAATGATAAAAAGTCCACCGTCGCAATGAATATTGCCTAATTCAATATCTTCATAGATCTTCTGAGCAGTTTTATTCAATGTTTCATTACTGTTTAAAATTTTTGTAGAATTTGTTACCAGAAGGACACCAATATACCTAACAAAGTGATTAAATATCCATAAATGAGTACTAAAATAAATTTCGTTTTACAATTTTTATACTGATCAAATCTCTAAATTGCATCAAAAAAATAAAAATTTTGGATTCCACAAGCAATTTTCAGTCTTTAAAAAAAAGTTATATATTCAAATTTATTGCTGACATTAATCAAAAGTTGTGTGAAAAAATTATTTATTGTAGAGATTATTGACATTAATTAAAAGTATTGTTGACATTAATTAAAAGCAATAATGACAAGTGTCAAATTATATATTATAAAATATGAATTAATTTGTATTATAAAATATGAATTAATTTGTATTATAAAACATGAATTAATTTGTATTATAAAACATGAATTAATTTGTATTACAAAATATGAATTAATTTGTATTACAAGATATGAATTAATTTGTATTACAAGATATGAATTAATTTGAAAATAATCATTTCTAAGTGATTAAATAAAATTTAAATAGCAAAGCAAAAACGAATGAAAAGAAAGAATGTATTCATTTCAGGAATTGAAAAATTTATTTTCAATGATTATAATAATTATAAGTAAGCGAGTGATTTTAGACTGAAAAATAATCTCGAAAAGAGCACAATTTAATTCTCCACAAAGATGAGATTAAAGAATATCTTGAAATGGGATGGATGTGTAGAGTGGAGCCAATTGAAGAATTATTCTTTCATTGAAATGTTTGAGCAAAAAATTAATACATTTCTCTAAAAGGGAAGGAGAAGAACACGTAATATTGGTCAAGGCATTGTGTAAAGTAAAGTATTTATTTTTTTTCTTTTTAAAAAAAGAGTTGAAATAAAATTATAGAAAAAATCGCCTCTTTGCAATCATTATTTTCTCTTAAATAAATATAGCAAAAGAGTAGTAAAACTCTGAAGATTGCATTTTTGATCTAAAAATATTTGTGATTGAAAACATATTAATTATTATAGTATTAAATATTAGCATTACTGATAGCAGTAGTAAATAATATTTATTTGATATGATATTATTTTGATAGTAATATGTGATTAATATATATGCAAAAAATGCAAATATTTATAATAAAAATATTATTAAAATTATTTTAAAAATGACTTTTGATTACACTTTCTTACTGCAATGTATGCACAATAATAAACAACTTAAGAATTTTTAAACTACTGGCATAAAATTTTTTGTGATAAATTTAATAGGTTAAGAGTAAATTAAATTCTATTGCAAAAATGTAATTAATGATTAATAAATGTAATTAAAATAAAATAAAATAAAATAAAACCTGTTGTTTCCATCCGTTCGTTGACATCCATGTTCACATTTGCATTTCACTTTTTGCTGTAGTTCATTCAAGAGTAATGTAAGTTTTTTTTGAGTACGTAATGCAAGAGTATTATTCACATCGCATACTAATAAAGAACGGCCAAATCCGTTTGATTTGCATATTTTATAGTCATCGAGTACACTTACAGCATTAGCTTCAGATTTTAACTACAAATTAACTTAATAAGACGAATATTTTATCCGCAGAAAAACTGAATAAAATATTTAGACAGTCAATCTGTGCCTAAATTGTTTTATTTTATGAATAAGTTTAATTTCATGTGATATTTAATTTTAAAAAATTTTGTTTTTATTATTCAGTTTTAGAGGAACATTGAAATTTAGTATGTAAATTACCATATTTTTTGTTTTATTATAAACTAGCAATTAATAATATTTATATATCGAATATAAGCGCTATTGAACATTATTATGTAAAGGAATAAAGATTCAGTATTACTAAAATTAAAAAATTAAAGTTCGGTGTTACTAAAAAAGATTAAATTAAATCAGTAAAATTTTCTTTCTTCTGCACTATCAAATGTAAAATTTGTTGTTTATTTTTATATTCTTCACAGTATAATTTACAATTTTAATTAAAAATTTGCTTATTTGAATTATCTTACTTGAACACATATGCAGTGTTACACATTTATATGATAAGAAATCCCCAAAAGATTTTTAAAAAAATTTTTCTTAAATTTAAATAACAAAAACACTTTCGTTATTACCCTCATTTGCGCTAAATTTCTTTCTAAAGAATAATGGAAGTCCGAAAAATTAACAAATTTTTGACTTCTATGAATCAGAATGCTTTTTACAAGTGGTGCTGCTGACCATCACACTGGACAATGTGAAAAAAATCTATGGAAAACTAGTGATGCATTTCAATTTATTCAGTACTGAATTAATGTTTTTTGATAAAATTTAGGTTTAAATTATTTGTAAAGTAACTAAATTTTTTTCTGTAAAAAGTTAACTTTCAAAGGTCAAAGTTTCGATTATATCAATGACAATTTGTTTAGTTGAAGGTTAAAAATTTTTTACTTTAGTAATGTTTTTAACAAATTGCTTTATAAAGTCACTGATTACTTTAATATCTTTATCCTTCGAGCAAAAATATTTTGTGGTTTAAAAGTTCAACAATAAAATGACCTAAAAAATATTGATTCTTCTGAGAATATCGTGAAGAAAATTGATAACAAAAATTTACGCAAAAACAATTTCCGTAATTAGTGCAAGAATCAAAAATGATATGATATTGAATATCACAAAATTTTCCAGTACTGTTAAAAATCTTTGCAGATCATTTTTCAATTTGATCTGATTACAAACCGATCAGCAAAACAAACTGTCATTGATATACAGTCGAGGATTATGCAACTGATTCTAATTTGAACAAAAGCATTCAGAATATGTAGTATAGCAAGATATAGTATTGCTGAGGAAAAGCATCAATTGCTTTCAAATATTATTTCTGTGCAATTTATTATTTAGTTCAAAAATATCATCTTAAAAATAAATTTAAATTTCAAGAAAAATAGATTTAATCAGATAGTAAAAGAAAGTTAGTGAAGAATTTTGTTGTCATGAAAATGTCACTAAAAGTTTTCTCATAACTCTTTTATTCAATATTTTTTGCAGTTTAATGGAAAAAATACTAAATATAAATTTAGTATTGACTATCAAAGTCCATTTAGCTTTAATAATTCATTTCCAATAATTTATTCAGTTCTAATTCAAGTTTGTTGTAATGCAATGACAATTTACTCGTACAAAATAATCAAAAATTTTCATAAAATCAACTAATTAAAACTTAGAATGCACACTGACACTGCAATCTTTTTACTATTTGGTTATTACTACAGACAAAAAAGTAATTTAAAAATTTTACAAATTCAAAAAAATAAATTTAAGTATTTTTCGAAATTTAACAGAGCAATAAATTTAAATTCGCATGTAATGTTTGAAAAATTTTAGGCTATTTTTCTCAAGTAATAATGTGCATAGTAATAGCTTTTTTTGAAAATAAAAAGTGACAAATTTTATGATACACGCAAATAAGTGAAGTGAAGCAACACGTTTGAAGAAAGTAAAAATGGAAAAAGAAGAAAAGAATAATTTTTGGAAAAAAAATTTTTTTGAACATAAAAAGTAAAAAATTTCTTAGCAAAATAAGAACATAAAATTTTCTCCAAAGAAATATATTTATTTTCTACATCGATAATAGTTTTTCTGAAACAATACATAAATTCTCAGTGCAATGCTTGAAATGTCTTTTTTGGCTTTTACAAAGTAAGCAATTATTTGAAAATATATTTCAGAAAAACATTGATAACAAAGTATTTTACAAAATAACTCTCAAATATTATTTGCTTTGTTAAGTATTCAAAATAGAAATTCAACCTTTCTTTGCTACATTTAAGAAATTCAACCTTTCTTTGCCACATTTAACTGAAAAGTTATTTAATGCATTTATTTGACTTATTGCTTATTTATAATAATTAAATTAAAATTAAAGTTTTCACAGAAATAATTTTAGTCAAAATAAAATCTAAAAAAGTAAAGTGTCAAAAAAAATTTTGAATTATACAATTTTTTACTTTTTACATGTCCGATATTTCTGTTTTTCAGTTTTTTTTTTTGACTTTTTAAAAAAGAATTAAAAAAAGAGGGGAAAAAGACTCTTTCAAACTCAAATTACTTTTTTGCAAGAATAGAATTAGCTATTAAATTGTATAATAGACGATTGCTTATTGAAAAATTTACAAAAAAAAATTATACTTTTTTAAAAAGGGCAAAAAATCATTAGAATTTTTGGTTGCAATATTTGAAAAAAAGAAAAAAAAGCGAATATTTTACTTTATTAAAACTATTCAAGATGAAATAAAAACAAAATTATAGCGTAATAATAATAACAATAATAATAGTAATAATAATAATAATAGTAATAGATCAGTTCAGATAATGAGAAGCTCACATAATTAGTAAGCACTGATTGCTTTCTCTTTCGTATTTACTTTATTATTTTTCTCACAAAAGTTTTTTTATTAAGTGTCAAAAAGTTTTATTCATTGCATTTAGCTTAAATTATTTATTAAAAGATTTACTATGAAAAGTAAGCAGATTATTATTAAGATTCAAAGATATGAAAAGAAAAATAAAGCAATTTAAGGCGATGAAAAAAAATTTTTAGTAAAAATAATAAGAAGGAATAGAAAGAATTGAAAATACAAAACTAACATATAAATGAAATGTTGAGTGAATAATAATGATGACGATGAAGAAACGCATCATCGAAAAGTTGCAAATGATATA